CATACATAGTATGCAAAACAACTATGTTTATCAACTGCCACAAGTTAGCTTTCTCTGGGCAACCGCGCCTCCAAAAGCTTTTTGGCTTGGCTAAACTTTTTCTCTGAGAGATTGAGGTCGTCCATGGTGGGGAGAGATTGGATGTCCCTGGGGCTCGCACATAGAAGCTTAAAATCCCTTCCAGCTTCACCAAGAACGCATTTCAATCGTCCTTCTTTGGTGAAGAACTTGTCAACCGGCTTCCCCTTAAAAGCACGCTGGACATCATCCGCTGATATGACGACATGTACAACTGTTGGTTGCTCGATCTCTTTCCTCATGTCCTCTGGTACCAGGTTCATGATGTCCCCAAACAGGCAGGAGTCATGGCCTCCAAACCCCAGACTGCAAACATAACATAACTTTAACATAACAGCATCAAGTTGCTTTCAAAAAACTATGCTTGGCTGAGTTCCGGACTGTTGGCGGCAATGATCTTCCGGCAGTTAGCGCTAATGTCTGCTGAAGAGCATTCCAAGGGCACAGGTGGCTGACCATCTTGCTTGGAATGGTGGAGGATACTCTCACAAGCAAATTCAGCAGTTCGGTACCCGGAAAACTCGGAGAACAGCCGAACCTCCTGGCAGGGAATGAGAACTAGAATGGACAACTCTTGCACTCTTGCGTGACATATTCTGCTCAACACCTTGAATTAAGAAGAATCATTCCTGAACGACTCTACAGGACACAAAACCAACCTCTCCTTCCAAGGTCTTTCAACTGAAACTGATCTGGCAGCATCAACGAAAGCTTTCACGAAGCCAAATGCTTTCTGAACCTTCTTAGGGGTTGACAGAATGGGTCTGTGTCCCGAAGCCGGCTTGCGTTTCAACATTGTCTTTGCCACAGCTCTAGGCTTCTGCGCAGTCCGAGTTGGGGCTGCGGGGACAGGCTTTGCTCTGACTGGCGCCCTACAAGCAGAAGCCGTGCGCATGTTCACACGAACACCAGGCACAGGCATGACGGTCGGCAAGGCTGATGATTCAAGTTCATCTACAATATCCATGTGACCGGGCAACCGGGCAAACCAACTCCAACATGTGTGCACAGTATTGCACTGTGCATCCTTGGGCAAAAAAATCAAAAACCATCAACAGCAATCAGGACACATCAACATCTTCTAGGCACATTGTTTTTTTTTGGGGGTGGCTACCGACTACCAGCTACCACCTGGATAGACTGTCCAGGTCGGGTCAAAACTTCAAAGCTGGTCCTGGGAGCGTCCGCAAAAAATCTCTGTTTCCCTTGACAAAATTTCTGCGTCTGTTTATCTGCTGTGAGACAGTGAGACACACTGTATAGCAATATATGTATCCGTGAAACTAATGGTCATGCAGCTGCGACATCCAAACGTCTGAGAAGTTCAGCTTTGAAAGGCTCATAGTAAACCAAAACAATGAGGTCCAAGACTGTTCTTCTTCTGCTCCAAACGTTGTAGGCGCCCCAACCTGATAGCACAAATACAAATTTGAAATGCAAACCTTGCTGCATCATGTGGCCAGGGGGATTTACAAAGTTACCGTCCCAGCTACCAAATAAGGTGTCAGAATCTTAAGCAACGAGATGAAGTCCAATCTTGAGGACCAGGCATCTTTCAGCCTTCTCCTCGTAAAGCATCATCGCCTATCAATACCACCAAATTAGTAAAGCCAATCAAGATGCATATCAACATGCGCTGAATCAGACAATTAGGAAAAGACACCATTCTTGGCACCTGGAATTATCAAAACTCACAAGGGAACCAACTAAAGTTGACGACTGAAGGCCCCCTGACAGAGCATGAACAATTGCCTAGCCTGGCTCGTGTGCTCGGCAGGCACTCGGTTGTCATATCTGGGGTCCAAAAGGATCCGCCCAAGTTCAAGCAGAATCTCACAAATACAGGAAACCCTCCTCTCCCTGTCAGTTCTATGGTAAGCGTTCCCAATCTCACGGCAATGTTCCACTGCCATTCCTGGTGGAGGAAAGGGTAGAGACATCACTCCAAAAAAAAGGACCCACCCATGATGCCTGCAGTTGAAATCACAGTAAGATCTTGTCTGTGAAAAAAGTATGTAAATTTGAAATTATCTCACAACAGTTTTCCGACCGAAAGTCTGATGGCATTCTCATGTCGAATGGATTGCTCCACATCTAGAGGCTGTGGCTGAGCAGGAGGCGCATTGGCAGCTGCCGCAGGGACAGCATTGTCCATGGCACCTGGATCTTCATCTTCCTCTGGCTGCGGCGGCTGAGGGACGTTGAAAGCATCCAATTGATCGGATATGTCTCCAAATTCTTGCAAAGCTTGATGACCCTCATCAACTTCGTGTTCTTCTTCATGCTCAACTTGGTCAACAACTGGGGGATTGGGATGATCAGGTTCATCTTCCACGTCACTTTCCTGATCCTGGTCGTTGTCTGCTCCATGCCTCGCATTTCTTTTCCTTTTCTTTCTCTTTGGCTGCAGCAAGTCTTTCTCAATTCTGGGGTCACGGCTTTTTGGGACACCTGCAGTGGCTGGGAAAGCACCACTGGCGTCGATAATCCAAATGCAAGTAAAGTCATGCAGATAATGAAAATCTTTTGATGGAAGGAGGCACGGTGAAGGAACCACTATGTAACCACAGCAAGCAGCAAAATCCAGATCTGCCTGTGAAGAAATCGACTAGATTCTTGTAGAATTCCATCTTTTGCTGGGCTGGTATAAACTGATACTGGCCAGGTTGACATTCCTGAGTCTCAGAGTCTCAGATTCCCATTTCCGACAAACCAAAACTTGAGCTTGATTGCAAACGAATATCTGACAAAAAAGAATAATCTTACCCTGATTCGCTGAGGGTCTTCGGCTCTGCACTTGAAAAATGCCAGGAAAGATTCATAATAACCTTTGGCTTGGGAATGCTTAAACCCGAACTGGTCCTCATACTCCTCCAAAGTTTCCACGTGGTACTTGAGCAGCATGAAATATTCCAAGGTGCCTGCTGGGTTGAAGCACCGATCGCGAACACCTGCATCCCTCACAGTTTCGCATCTACTCCAACCTTCGTTCTCCAGGCGGTTCCGGATACCAAATCGAGAGTCACAATCCGAGCATGGTTGAGGATTGGAAAAGTATGTTTTCAGGGTCAACAATTGAGGTGCTAAATGTCCACCCTGCACGATACCTTGCTCTTCCATCCATTTAACCACATGCCCAACTAGTGGATTCGATTTCAGACTGCCCACCACCCCATGGTTCGAGACGATCTCCTTGGCAATGCTCTGAACAGACTGCCTTGGTACAAAGGCAGGCAGTTGGCTCCAAGCCTACCTACAGTTCTAGATTCTAGCTACACCTCTCAAAAAGAAATCAAGTCAAGAACTCAATAGACAAGAAACATAAATGAGTTGTCAACTTCAAAGAGCTGACTCTCACAGGTGTTCTCTGGCTCATCCAGCAGTGGTTGACACGCAATGTCTTCCAAGAATTGGGTGGAAACATCAGGCGTGGTGACAACCTGATGACGGATGCTTGTCAGATTGATTTCAGAAATCAAGTCCCAACCCAACAACAAATCGCAACAATTGGTTTTTGCCCTGGTAACCCTGGTCCATGATAGTTATGTTTTCTTGCAATCAAAAAGCTTCCTGGTACATGTGCAAGTCCAAAATCTCACATCCAGGGGCCAACATCTTTTGCAACCGCATTGGGACTATCTCTGTGTTGGTTATGTCACACGTTTCCGGGGGTCCGTCACCAAGAACGGGATCGTTGATCATCTCCACAGCAATGCAATCTTTCCATTCCTGAAGCAGGGGCAAAAAGGCTGGGCTGGACCACACGGGCTTGAGAGAGTCATCTGCAATAGCCCCAATGTTGCATTCCAAAATTCCAAAAAGGAAAAATACCAACACCATGGCAAAAATCATCGGTGGACAGGTAGCAAGACTTTTGCAGATACATATTCTGCCCTGGATTGGTGTGCAGAACCCGGAATGTAGACCAGAAACCTTCCTGTGCATACCCCTTCAAAGCAAAACACTGTCCCTTGACCAAAACAGTCTTGATATGCTCTCGAAGGAGTGGAAGCTCAGGAACTTCATCAGCCTCTTGCCTTTTTTGTCCAGCTGCAATCGCTAACTGTTCCTGAAATGATTCCTTGACTTGTCGTTCATTTTGAAGCTGATCATGCACAGCACAAGCACTAGACCTAGTGATTCTCTCTAAAAACTCTGTCTTGCAACCCCACTGCCCTTGGTCAAGTTCACCAATGCTGGCCAAAAGCTCTGGTAGGTTTTCCTGGAACAACTGGCTTTTCAAGTCTTGGTTCTCTTTCCTTCTCAATGCTGCTGACAATGTCGCAGGCATCTGTTTATACCGCCAGCTGAGAAAACGTTTGAGCAGGCTATGTCTTGACTCAAGACGTTGCATGACCACTAGGGAAGTTGCGTATCCGACCAGCTCTTTGAACATGGGCTGATACATGGGGAGAGAATCGCCAGAAGCCCATTCCACAAGCCTTGCCCTAAAGGGGCCGTTGATGTTCAGGAACCTGTAGGAAATCACCTCAATTAATTCAACAGGGCGGAGGGGCTGGAGAACAAGTTATTTGCGAATCATGCTGATAGCTAGAACTTCCGTTGCAGCAAATATTGAAACTCTTGAGTGCCTAACTCCCAAACCAGCTTTGTTCGGCGTCAAGTCATGCTTGCGAATCAACAACTTTGCAGCCTCTTTGCATTGTTGGAGGCATTGGCTCGCCTGAATTGAATTTGATTTCTCCAAGAAAGGAATCCAGGTCAGGGATCTGAGGAAAACAGGTTCCTACTCCGTGTATTCCTAACAAAAGAGCTAAGCAAAAGCGATTGAGCGTGTCCTTCAATGCCAATGGGTTGATATGATGTAGAGTTCACTTGAACAATGTTGAACATCAAAGCTGTATAAATCCTTCAAGCTACAAGTCAAAAGCAATTCTGCGACTGCGATGCCATGCTTGGGTTCAGGCCTCTTCTGCAGTGGAAAAGTTCAGCACGTAGGGCTGCATGATCATGAGAAGCACCCAAGGGAGCTCATTCCAGTAACCAAAAGCTTGTGTCATTCTGAATTCCAGTTTTGAAACCGCGACCCTGAAGTTATCCAAAAGGATGTTCGCACTGTCAGGATCCTTCTCAAAAAGTTTTTGCACGGCGGTCTGAACATGGTTTGGGAAATTTGAGGCTTCACTCTTCAATTTCTGCAATGCAGACTTTGGGTACCCGGCTGCCAATGGTACTGCCATCCTGCCTGACATGGGGCAATTCGTTTGGCGGTCAGCCTCCTCTTTCTTTTCTAAAAATTCAACATCCTTCTTCATCCTTTTCTTAGGTCTCTCTTTCCAGTCATGACACGGACAGCCATGAAGGAATCCGGTAACACCATGGCCCCAGTCACTGAGAATCTTGCACAGGCCGCACATAGCCCAGAAACGGCGCGCCGCAACTCCATCATCACATAAAGAAGTCAACAGCTCCAAATGTTTGGAAGAAAGATGGTGCTGCTCATTCTGGGAAGGGTTCTCCCGCTCAGCAGCAGCATTGGTGAAATCCCGAAGCTTCAAGAATTCTAGGGCAGACTTGCGGGGGGCAACCCATTCCAAAGTTTCGAAGAGATACTCCCACCTGTGCTCAACAAATTGAGGACAGACCGTCTTGAACAAACCTACCAGTGCGTGGCGAAATTCCTGCAGCATCGAGACTCTCAACAGCAACACCAAGTGAAAGTTTACACCAACGACTTTTTTTGATGTTTCAGTAATACCAGTCTCAGTACCAGTAGTAGTAGGTCCGGTCATAGTAAATAGGTCAAAAACTTTAAAAAAAATTGAAGCCTGACTCAGTCCTCAGGCACATTGGGATTCCGCATGATGCACACATCTCTGAATCGATCAAGCCGGTGAAAAGTTCCAAAGGCCCGGGCAACCGCAGTCAACGTCTCCTTGAACTCAGCCCAATGCCTAAATGAACCATGTATCTCGGACATTACCTCAGGCCCAAGATCGGATGACGTGCATTGAAATCCTGTGGTAACAAATCAAATGAGGGTGCCTAAATACCCATGTCGTACTGGAGTTATACTTGTAGAAAAGGCAAAGTTACATGGTGCATTGCGTGATCACCGTCTGCTATTGGTAACGCTTTTGAAAAGAGGCGGTTCATTGAACCATCATCCAGTGTCCACATTCCTGCACTGCTCAGAATCAAAGGATTAAGGTCTAACACATTTCAGGCCCATACACACAAACACCCCTACTTCTAACACAGGACAATTTAAAGTTGGTTCATCTTTTTAATATCTTTTTGAGACCGGGTCCCAAAATTATCACGTGAATCTGTGAATCCTGACATTCTGACATTCAAATTCACATCATCATCATCATCATCATAAGCATCATTTAACATTTTTACAAGTTGCTTGAAAATGATGATGGGTTTTGACACACTGCTTCGATTTCGGGATTTAAATTTCGCTGCAAGAAAAATGCATTTACAACGACGACACTTAATACGCTTAGATTTTGATTTGGACTGTCCTGCTTCTGCTCCGAAATCAAACATAAGACTCATGGTTCTTGCTACACTGATTTGAAGAGCTTCCGAGTCCAGCGCCAATGCGCGGAGGAGTTGCCGTCCTTTATGTACAGCAGATGCAGCTCTGCTGCCTATAATGGACAGTGGCAGGATTCTTGTTCGCAATGCTATTGCCCCAGTTTTGAGGAGGTTCGACACATGGGAATGGGAACAATCATCATCCATGGAAGTACTAGGAAGTGGAAGTGTTCGGAATTGGCACCAGTCGAATTCGCATATAAAGTAATCCCTCCCTCCTTGGGGACTACTATCCGCTCTCAAGTGCAGGAACCATTCACTCTGTGCGGTGAGGATATAACGCCTCGAATAGATCATGCTCGCTAAGTCTAGCTCAATCCTGGACCTCTGCAGTGTCATTCTGCTTGGAATCTGCAAGCCCTGCTTGAAGATGTGCTCCACAAGTTCAGGAGCCAAGCAAAGCCGCAATGACCTTAGACCCGCTGTGTGGCTTGTCTGCTGTGCCGCTGGGCATGAGGAGGTGCTGAATCACTTGTCAACTATCAATACTTGCGAAGACTAAGTGACTCAGGTTTCTTCGTTTGTTCATGATCTTTTGGAAGACTATGCCTATGCTGCCTAACCACCACTAATGCCTAATGTCCAGAAACTCTGAACGTTGAACATTCCTTTCAGACATCTGACTCTGACAATAGTTGAGACCGAGACCCCCGGCAGTTTCAATGCATCGGCCATTTGTTCAGGGCTGGTCCTAAGCAGGCGGCAGCAACCACCCAGGTAAGCATGTATGATATGCCCCATTACAAACAAAAATTATCCCGGCAAGCCGGCAAGAGACCCCAAACAGCGTGGGGTAGTAACAAGACAATGTATGCTGATAATACTGATAATGTGGAAGAGGATGAGGATGAGGATGGTGATGTTGATGTTGATGATGATGATGAGGATGATGATGATGATGATGATGATAATGATGATGACGATGATGATGATCATCGGTGATGATGATGATGATGATGATTCACATCTCACCCGACCCCACATCACAACACGCACACAAAAGGCCCTGACAAGTTGCGACAAGATTGGAAATGAAATGATAAGATTGATATTAAATTTCCACAAAACAACCTCTAGACATTCCAGCAAGGATCAGCTTATCTGCCAACAGAACAGAGCACAGCATGAAGTCAGGGCGGTATCCAAATCCACCAGGAATAGCCTCTGAAGATTGTGCATCATGATGATCTGCGTCGCCTGGTTGCGACGTTGGGTTTGTGAGCCGTCGTCTCCCCTGCTTTGCATCTAGAACTTGAAAAATCCGGGAAACCACCTTCAATCGATCAGCCACCACTGTGGGAACACCTTCATCAGCTGCTTTTTGGATGTCTTCTAGGAGTGACTGGATTTGCGATTTCCCCTGGCTCCCAAAAGATTGCAAGTTCCGGTCTGGCAAGGGTTGGTCCAGCAGCGTGATAGCAGTGGACTCAAGTAGGACACTGTCTGGCACTTGTGCCTTAGCAAGAAAATACCTTGGCCGTGGCCGTGGACCATGGAAATGTAGTATTTGCGGCCCAAGACTAACAAGTCAAAAAAAAACATCTTGACATCGAAGCCCTAAGCCTAAGAGCCTGAGAATTGAGTCGAGAAAGTGTTTTTCTTGAACCTAGTTATGGATCTGGTTCTGCTTAGGGTGCCTCATGAGCTTCTGCTTCTCTCGCAAACTCTGACGTGGCAAAGGGTATTTAGCTTCAAACTCTTCCCAAGTCATCTCGGTGTCACCATTGGAAGGGAGGACTCTAGGTCGAACATCTAACAGGATCCGCACTTCAGATTGCGGAAGTTGAGTCAAATGCCGGGCCCCCTTGAGACCATTCAGGCCCCTGTCCTCTCCTGGAACTTGTGGGCTCAGACGGCCAGCGAAAAGCACTTCGCAGTCAGCAGTTCCAACGAATCCAGCAGGCTTGCAGGTATCATCACTGCGCACCACGTAGACGTGGTCCTAGGCGATGGCAGCAAGTAATTTTTTTCGTTTGCCATGCAAAAAAAAAGTATTACTTGACTCTGCCACTCTATTAGGATTTCCCTGTTGGACTTGCTTCTATAGATTCAAAATACCAAATTCTTTATGTCTCTAGTTACTGATGTTGCATGCTAAAACAACTCAAAGAAAAACAGATGATAAGCCGACAAGACAAACCACGGAAAACATTGCCAAAAAAAGGTAAACATAACGAACTTGAAGTACAGTCCGAAATTCAAACTTGTTTCTTTGTGCACACTTGCTAAACGCCCACAAAAATCCAGCGGGCACATGCACGCCGACACGCTTGGCTCTCCCGTCTAAACTGGTTTGAGCCTCCATCTCGGGATGATGGCATTCACTGGCGAGCTGCACTGGCCGTGGAGGTGTGTGGAAACCATGGGGTAATTTACTAATTTCGTACCTCTTACATGCGGTTAGAATATGTTACAAAAAAATACAAGTATACAAGTAGTTCCCGGGCAAGCCGGTGGCAGAAGTTTCAAAATTGAATGAAACGCTTATAGACTATAGGACGGAGCAAAGGCTGTGCTGATAGGTGACAGGCAAGCTTTCTGTGCTTCACAGCAGCAATCTCTTGATTTGTCAATCTGATGATTGATTGACTGATTGATTGCTTGCTTGCTTGATTGATTGGGTGAAAGAAAGAAAGAAAGAAAGAAAGACATAAAGGAAGGAAGGAAGGAAGGAAGAAAGAAAAAAAGAAAGGCAGGAAGGAAGGAAGAAAAAAAGAAAGAAAGAAAGAAAGATAGACAGATGGATAGATAGATGGATAGATAGGTGGATAGATAGATGGATAGGTGGATGGATGGATAGATAGATAGATAGATAGCAAGATAGAAAGATATAAAGATAGATAGAGAGAGAGAGAAATAGAGAGATATAGATACAGATATAGATATATAGGTATATTGATATATAGATATATAGATATATAGATATAGATATAGATTCTGATTCAGACAAAGATTTATTTTTAGATATAGATATATAGATATATAGATATATAGATATATAGATATAGATATAGATTCTGATATAGATTTAGATATATATAGATAGATAGATAGATAGATTAGATTAGATTAGATTAGATTAGATAGATAGATAGATTATAATATATAGATATAGATAGATGGATGCATGGATGGATGGATGGATGGATAGACCTTCCTCTTGCTTAGAACGGAGCAAAGGCTGCGCTGATAGGTGACAGGCAAGCCACCTGTGCTTCACAGCAACAATCTCTTGATTTGCCCATCTGACGCCATGTCTGTACTACATGTGGCTAGAATATGTAACAACATTATGACCGTTAAACAGTCACCGTTTTCCTTGTTTTTTCAATGTAAAATGATCCTTCCCATGATGCCTGAAGGCACTGTTTTCACAAACAATAGTGATAAATAACATATTTAAAAAAAACAATGCTACAAATTCACTCTTGTAGGTCCCGGTGGAACCAGCCCAAAAGTATAGATACCTCGCGATCTTCTATATGCGCTACGATGTGTTTCCAGCTACTGATTGAAATATCCACATCGGTGTTCAGTTTTGTTAATGTTGCTATTCATATGTAACATTGGCGAGGACTACTTGGTTATGGTTTGTGAGCAAAGTCATACCCAAATCCACGCATATCAACTGGCCTTGTGGCTTCAAACCTCAAAATGGAGGTCCCTAAACTCTTTGTGGAATGGACATGGTCCATGTTTCCATGTTGAATTTAGGGAGTGTATAACCCCATCAATATCGTTATTAAGTTATATCATTATATCATTATATCAGTATATCTTTATATATCGTCATGGCAGATCCAAGTGATGTAAGTCTTCCAGCAATTCGGATGAAATCAGTATTGCATGCCGCCGCTTCAGGATTGGTCGTCTCAGCGTCTTGGAAGGTCTCTGCCAAGAGTCAGAGGAGGGGCGTTTTTCCCGGCGAGCCCAAGCCATGAACATTGGGTGATTCGTAACTCAAGCAGATATCAACTTCATTCCACCTCAGATTCTTTGGACCTGATATTTCACCTTTCTCCAGTTTTGGACGGGACCCTGGCAACATTGATCTGGGCTGGTTTGGTGGAAGCCTTTCATGTTTCAAGGGGTCAAGCCTGGGGTCATGTGCGACTGGGGTGATGGGTTCTGTGAGCTTAGAGAATGAGCTTCCATCCTAAGAACTCTTGTAACTATGCTATGTTCTCGATCCTATGCTGGCCAATGCAATGTACATCCACGGTGAGACATCTACCCTCTGGTAATTTATCATAGCTATTGCACATGGGACATAGAAATAGTCGATTTACCATGATTTACATATTACAGATGGTGATTTTCCATAGCAAACTGTTAGTTTACCAGAGGGTATTTTGCACAAAAATCCCAAGACCAGGAGCCGGATGGACGCAGATTCTTCCTGTGGTGCTCTCAGTGGCCGTTGCACCGTCTGCTATGTGGCAGCAGAACATCCCACTGGGCAGCACATTCAACTGAATGTTTTTTTGCATATCACTATATATATAATTATATATATATAGTATAACATAGAGGTTTCCTGAAATAGGGCTATCCCCAAATCATCCATTTTTGTTTGGCTTTTTCCTTGATAAACCATCCAGCTATTGGGGTACCCCCCATGACTATGGACATCCACTATACATCTATGGGATTCAATGGCAACCGGGAGCCAAGGCGGAGTCTCAGCGCAACTCGGCAGCTTGGGTTGCCCTTTGGTAAACATAGAAAAAGCGATGGAAAATCGAGATTTTTAAGAGGGAAATCATTGTAAATGGTCCATTTGCCACCATTTTGCCATAGCTGATTCTGTTCAATTACCAGAGGGTAGATACTTGGAGGGTCCACGAATCGTCCCTGGTTAATGTTTGTGAAGTTAGATGGGACAGTAAACATGAATAGCTACATGACCCGGTGACCCTTCCCAAAAAAAGGCTATGAGAAAGAATATTCAAAGTTGGATATCCCCCTTTCTAGGATCGTTTGGTAGTAAGAATGGTCTTTTCCAATCTTTTCGTTTTCATTCCCCACAGCTCCGTAAAAACTTCGCTCGCAGGCAGCTCAAGGTGGCAGTGGGGATGCCAAGAACAACGGGAGCTGGATGGATTATAACTATGGTTTATAGCTTTCTCCAAATAGAATCAAATAGATGGGTTATCGAAATTGTATCTTTATAACTATGGTTTATAACTATGCTTGTCCCAACTATAGATGGCTTTCTCCAGATGGTTTATGGGATATAACTCACTATGGTTATCCCACAGATAGTTATATAACAGGGATATAAATGATATATAACTATCTCGCAACTATGGGCTAGTTTAACCCGCAGATGGATCAGATGGCTATGGTTATCCCAGCTATAATGGATTCTAACCCCATAGTTAACTATAACAATAAATGGATAATATCTAGAAATAAGTATGGCAAATATCCCATGGGTTATTATAGTTGGGATCATATCTATAGATAACAATAGATAACAATAGATAACTATGGGTCACTTCCCCGTGAGAGGCGCTTCCGAGCCTCCACTCTGGCAGCGGCTGCGCCGCGCCATGTCCACGGACAGCCAGAAGGAGGCGCGGTGCCGCGAAGTCCGCGAAGTCCGAGAGCAGTTGGGATTCAACCAACAAAAATGGGAAGTTAAGCAACAAAAATGACTGGTTGGTGGTTTGGAACATGGGAAAACCATGGGAAAACCATGGGAAAACCATGGGAAAATGGTGCTTTATATAGTAATAATGGCTGGTTGGTGCTTTGGAACCATGGAATTTTATGACTTTCCATATATTGGGAACAATCATCCCAACTGACGTTCATATTTTCCAGAGGGGTAGGTATACCACCAACCAGAATAAACATGAGGTTTCACCAGTAAATAATGAGGATTTGACTATATAGCAAACATTGGGAAAGAATGGACTTTTGACATGATTTAACTAGCAACAATTCAGGATTTAAGCAATAACAACTGTGATTCAACTAGAAACAAAGGGGAATTGAATAGGATTTCACCATGAAACACGTGGAATTTACAATGAACATTGGGATTTGACGAGCAAAAAACAATTGGGATTTCATCAGAGGTATATTCAAATGTAGGGATTGAAGCATCAATGGGATTTAACCACCAGAAAACATGATATAACGATATAACCATCGAAAACAATAAGTTTCTCCAATTTATATAATCATGAAACATTGGTACGTAAACATAAAAACATAGGACTATATTCATGGATATGATCATCGAAGCAGCCATGCATGTTGAATTAACAATCAGGAAATGGGTTTCGATTTAACCTTGAAACATGTGGATTAACTGTCAGACATCTTGAACAATGCAACTCTTGAGTATCAGCAATTGGAACTTGCGCACCATGGGATTTGACGCACGAAACATCTTCTGGTCCTGGGGTTGGTTTGATGGAAGATTTACAGGAACCCCATGTTTTTTCAAGTCTCCAGTTGAATTTCCCCTGCATCTCGGAAGGGTTCAATCCCGATAGTGGACAGGTTCTCCATATGTGTTGGTGAAGAATCCTCGTATTTGTGACAAAAACACCCCAAGTCTTGTGGTAAATCCAATAATCAACCTCCAAGTTTGGAGGCTTCACAAAATCCACCCCATTTCTGGATTGGAGATTTTTGTCGATTGTGATATTGTTTCCAAAATGGGGTGTACCCTCCTGTAGACTAACATAGATGTGGAAAGTCAACCAATTGCAAAAAGCGCATATTTTCCTGGGGAAACCGACCATTGTGGTTTTCCAGATCTTTGGTACCTATATTTTTACCCGTTGTGGTTTTCCACTGGAGATTCATTCGTTTTGTGCCGCAAGGTGAGGCGGAACCCTGAAGATCTGAGCTTTGCTGAAAAGAAGGCCGACTTCCGTAGATCTCCGAGATTTCATATGGAGATTTCTGATGGGGATAGGGATAGAACCAACGACCCGGCCTGGTTTTTATAAACAGACATAGCATGACAGTTTGCTATTGAACATGGCCATAGAAATTGCCATAGAAATCGTTGATTTACCCAGCTATAAAACGGTGATTTTCCATAGTTATGTTAGTTTACCAGAGGGTAATAATGGTTATAGATGGGAATAGTGGAAAAGATAATATAAATATAAATAATAATAATAATAATAAATTAATATATATATATATATCATGTCCTCTGGAAAGGTGACTAGCTGGACGATGCCCAAAAAGATGTTGGATGATTTTCCCATGCCAGCTATAAACCTTCCTTGGAAGTCGGGGACTTCCAGCTAGCCACAATCGCAATCTTGTGTTGAG